TCTATAAATATTTCACAACTGCAATGCACTTCTTCCTCTATTTAATAATGGTCCCTTTACAGACTACCTTCTTGGTGTCCAGTCAGTAGAAACTTCAAAGACAGCTCGGCTTAAAGCAGTCGGCTGAACCTCCCAAGTTCTCCAGAGAAGTCCAGACTTCTCTTTCAACCTAAATTATCCTATGATCTTACAAATACAAAACTGGACAGGTAGCAAAAAATAAAAAAGAAAGAAAATAAAAACTGAAAAAAAGGGCAAAAAGCCTAAGATTTTTGTCTGGGTTTTTGGTTTGGTGGTTTGTTTTTTTTTTTTTTGGAGGAGGTGAGTGTGGGTCTTCAGGCTTTGAAGACATTTCTGGGAAAACAGTTTTTTCCTTTTTAAACTATCTGGAGTTGTTTTACTTATTTACAGTTCCGGTCTTCCAGGAGAGGGGTTTTGATCCTTTACTACATACAGAGGTAATCTAAGAATGAGTAACTGCAGATTCCAGACATGACGCTTGCAGGTTTCTCTTTGATGAGATTCAGAAAGAAACATGATGTATGCCATGCTGTCACAGGTTAAAGTATTGTAAGACCACAGGCTATAGCTAGCTCTATAGGAATAAGACTTCTGACATTTGAAAAAGCCAGTTTAACAGAACCAAAGTGTAACACAGTAGAAACTGATAGAAAAAAAAAATATCAGTGCAGAAACAAAGTGCGCATTTTAATAAAGAACATAACTGACAAATCGGGGCTGTGTGGAAACTGGAAAGCCTTGAAATCCTCAGAGCAGGGATGATAAACAAAACCTGTTCCTCACGGCTAGCTCATGTTGATTGTAAGTGGTTTACAAACGAAGTATGATCAGCTTACAGAAGGAATTGCATGATGGGGTTGACTGCAACAGCAGGAGCATGGCCTAATGACCTATAAGCTTTCCATTCTATTTTTCTTCTTTAGGAAAATAATGCATTTATTTTGAGAACAACATTTGATAGGGGATCCCTCTTCACTTAAGCTTCTGAGGTCAAATGGGACAACTTGAATGTTAATATGACAAATACAAAATTAATACTGCACATTATAAAACTGAAATACACTTTTTGCATAGGAAAGTAGCTTTCAATGGTAAGTTAAGAACAAAATAGTTGAAGGCAGAGTTCAACAATTTGGTCAAAAAGAGGTAACCCATTCTCAATGCCTTGTTCAGCACTTTGGAATATCCGCACAGAACAGTCAAAGCTTTAAAGGTCATACTTTGTCTCAGTATAAAAACTGATCAAAAGAAGTATCTGCAGCCTACATACAACTTACCTTTCAAAACCTGTTGGGCCAGGCAGGTCTACTTCAGAACATTATAAAGGATAGTACATGAGTACATTTGTACACTTTATGTTGGATGTAAGCTCCCAATCCTATAGATACACACAGGACTACACATGCCTGAAAAATTACTTGTAAATAAAGTTATATTAAAGTTGTATCTATAATGTGAAAATATAAGTGCTCTACCATTGCCATGAACTGCATTTATAGAGAAGTTAGCCCAGATAGAGAAAGTTGAAGCAATGTTTCAAATATACTCCTATCCTTTCCTTCCAGCATATGACTGCTATTTCTTTTCTCTTTGTCCCATTCGTACTTCCTCCATAGATGAAGGAGGAGATGACTGAGAGAGAGTTCAGGGACTTGTTCTGCTCAGCATTAGCAGGGCTGACAGATTCCCTCCTCTTGATAGCGACTGTGAGCACAGGTTGCATTGTCATGCAGTCTTTTCCCTTATCGGTGACGTTAATTCTGTTAGGTTCCTTGTGCCTCCCATGGTTTAGGCAGGTTTCTCCCATATTCCAAGATTAACCTTGCGTTTGGGTTGGTTTTTTTGTTTGTTTGTTTTTTCAAAACATCTTTCACTTACAGCCATCAAACCTGGTTAAGAGTGGAGAAGTTAAGGGAAGTCTGAGATGTTAACACCTGGGATGCTTGAAGGTCCAGTACAAAAGCCTGTGTTTGGGGTGTTTTGACATTGCTCTAGGTGTGTCCTACATCTGTTTTCTTATGAATTTGATCCTGACTGTGAGCTGAAGGAAGGTGGCAGGTGGTAGATCTGACTGCAAGAAGCCACAGAAGCCAATTCAGGAACTTTGAAACACCATCAGGTAATTTCAAGAGGTGTCCTGAAAAGAGAATCTTAAATATCTTAAGCATTTGGTTTAATTAAACTACATGTACATGATTTAGCATGCATTAATCTCTATTAAGTATTGCACAATTTGTATTCATATCCATGATGTAAAGTCAAGATCTGCCTAACATAAACCTAAAATAAAGTAAGAAGCTGAGTTTGGCCTGATAGTCTTTAAAATACTGCAGAGCCATATCACACTATTTGTCACTCTGCAACTTCAGATAGTAGCTATGCTGAACAAGCTTGGCTTGTCTTAGAGAGCTATTTAAAAAAGACTCTTGCAAGTGTAAACAACTAACAATTTTAAGACAATATTGTTACTATTTTCCAAGTGACTGTGGTCCAGATTCATTTCCCATTTAATGACAAGTGAATGTTCTGAAGACGTAACCTGCACTATCACAGGCAAGGTAAGATTAAAAACATTAATTTAGTATTTCAGAAGCATGCAAACTTCAAATAAGTAAATATTGTTATCAGATGCATCATTAGCAGTTCAGAATACATTTACTACCAAGAACCCTAAGCAACCCCACAAAAGTCAGATAAGCTGGACTTGTTTATAAAGTTTGACTGACACCAGCCTGTGTTTGGCTACGTGCAGTCCAGACACAGCAGCACTCATCTGAGTGTTCAACTTTTGGAAATTAAGCCTTACATTTTAAAAAAATTGCTTCTTCCTGAAGTCACCTCCAAATTCACCCTCGCAGTGTCCTTCAGCAGTTCTCTTCCTAATCCAAACACACCACAAAACTAAGTTTGTGCAAAGCAACACCAGAGTCTTTGGAGATGATCATGTTGTGCTCAACTACTGCATCAAATACTTTTTACACTCCTCAGGTTATGCAAATAGCAAGTATTTCTGCTACTGAGTGCTAATTATCAGCACAGTATTATTTTTTTCTTCTCCAGAAGGAAGATAAATACATTACTGATTTAACTCCTGAGCAAAATGTTCATGTTGTCACTGTCCAGCTGCAGCAGAAAGTTTCTAGTATCTCCCTTTCAGGCTAGGCATGCTTAGAACAAGCACATATGAACATACATACACAGACATATATCATATTGTTGCAACACACAGAAATATACCTGAACAGAGTCTTTTTCTCTTTTGAATACAGATGACAATCAAATACAAGTTAAATTTCAAAACTACTGGGAAAGTACCTAACTCACTTAAACCTTCTTTATTTGTATCGGAAGAGGAGCCCTTCTTGGGTCATAGGTGTGTCCAGTGGATCTACATCATCATCAAGCCAAGGTCCCCTGCTCTTACATACTCTAAATAATATAATTTTGAAAGAAGGTCTCAATAAAAGAAAATATAATTGCCTTTGTGGTCAGAAGGGGTAAAAAGGACATTTCAGCAGAACCTTAGCTTACTGAGCAGGTTCAGGTGGCTGAACAATTTTACGGAAACAATGCAGTCATAAATCAAGCAGACTAAGTAAGCATCTCCCAAGTAAAGAGAAACAAGCCTGTGCAACCAACACAATGCTACAAAGAAACAACAACAATACTGTAGCGCTTTTGGTCTCGATAGATGCAGCTTAATCTGGGAGTCTTCTCTGGGCTTCGTATTGTATCCATATGAATTTCACCTCTACCCTTGAGAGAGTAAAGCTAGAGGCCTCTGTTAAAACTAAGTCAGATAGGTACCACCCTGTCCTATTGTTAATTGATTGTCCTTTCCCCACTTTTAGGATACAAATTACCTTGTTCCTTGACATATATACAACTTCTATGTTGACACATGCACATACAACTTGGCAGAGGTAAGAACTGCATATTCATTATAGGTTCTGCACTTTATCGTTAAAGGTCAAGCAAAAGGAAAATCTAAACCAAATACAAAGCAAACTGTAACGGGAGCTATACAACGTAGAGAGCTACAAAACAACAGGAGTGTTTGGCAACAGGCTTTCACATGGAAAAGCACAAGAAAATAAACAGAAAGCACAACAAAAGACTAGAAGAACAACCATTACTCTTCAAAAAACAGAAAGAAAACAACTCAAATCAAATTTTAAAGAGCACCCAAAACCAGAAGACTTAATACATTACAGTTTCCAGGTATAAGAACAAAACCAAGAGCTTGGATATGACCCTTTGTTGTACGTCACTTCATTAAAAAATTTAAGATAAACAACATTAATTAGTAAATGGATTCACTTCCAAGAAATTAATCTTGGATAATATTTTTTACATAGTTTTATTAGTCAACAGAATTTTAAAAGGGCAACTGTGGAGTACAAGAACATACATGCAGATGGTATTCTGGCATATACTGAGCAGTGTAATAGAAAGTTACTTTTTCTCCACGTTATCACCTGAAAGTACATCTTTACTCTGCAAATACAGAGTAATTTTGCTTGTAAAAGTGAAAAAGAAAAAGAATCTGAGTTTTGTGTAAACTGACATCACATATTTCCAAGGAGATTATAGTCTCTAGAGTGCCAGACAATACGAATTTATTTTCTTTTGAAGGAATCCCTTTGTAGCATATACTTAGTTTCCTTTCAGATTAATTTTATGTGTTCTTGAGTCAAAAGTAGAGAAACATGAATACTTTGGCTTTAAGCAGGGAAAGTATTATTCCAAATCATGAGGAATCAAGTCCTCTGATGGCCTGCCCTACTGCAGCAGCAGATGTTTTATAAGAACAGAGACTGGAGGATGCGTTTTCATCCTACCAACAAAAGCAACACCCTTCTCTTCACACAACCGCAGTGGCCCCTAATATGCTTTCTGACAACAGGCAAAGGGTCATCTCACATGGCAAGAACAGCCTCCAGCATGGATTAAAAATGTAAGAAAAACATTCGACATACTTGGATCTGACAAGATTGAGTCGGTTTTCGGCAAAAATTGGTCACAGCGGACTCCTTGGTACCCCTCTTTGCACCTGAGAAAAAGGGGATAAATGACAAACATACGCATGCGGTAGTAAAAGGTTAATTTCAAGGTAGCAAAATCAACTAAAATTCTCCCTGTCAATGCTGTGAGGGACTTGCATATTCACAGTTATTTCAACTATTATGGAAGCAAAGTTATTACTCAAACACAATGGAAGCATGTAAAATAATTTGTATTTCAAAAAATTCCCCTGAAACCTTTTAGATTGTTTTAGAAACTACAAAGAGAAACATCATTTAGGCATAACCGTTCTTTTAAATATCAATTCAGTGAAACAATCAAAGAAAAATAGTCTATAAAATAGACATATTCATAATAAAATAAACTCATTAGGTAACACAAAGCTTTATAAAGTTTCTGTACTGTACAAACCATCAGATTAACAACTTGTTTCTCTTTGGCTGTTTGAATGAGCAGGGAGCACTTACCTAGCCATTAATTTTAAGACTAGTTTCTCCCATGCTTAAAAGATAACATGTTTTAGCATGATAGACAACATCAGGCACAGTTTGTAAATGGACAGTCTTAGATGTCTGTGCGATTAGATTTTAAAGCACATAAACCATAATATCGTCTGCTTTACAAACAAGAATTGGCTCTGATTGAGATTCTAATGCTATTATTTATCTTGAAACCTTACTTTGAAGAAATTTCATTTACTGCATTTGGACTGTTCTCAGAAGCATCTCTCATTTCAACTAAGTGTATCAGAATCAGACCTTTAATTATTTATACACCAAGCAGTTTTTCAGAGACAAGTGATGGACACTTTAATTATAAATGATAGCAACAGGGACTCCTTATCTCCCAAAGCTCTTGCATATCATATAAACAATACGCTCAAATCAGCATCACCACCTTTCATTAGGATTGACAACTGCAGCTTGAATGATGTGATAATGTCAGGAATAGAAGTTATCTGCTCCTTCACCATGTTTCTGATCAGGTTTCCTCTAAAAGTTGCCTTTTAAAATGCTTTTGGTTTAATAAATTAATGCTTCAGTGAGAAGTGCATCTCACTGGCATTGATTCAGGGATTAGTAAGCACATTTGTGAACAAATACAAAAATTGTAAGAATTCCCACCAGACCCAAAAATGTAGTAAAAATCTACAGTAAGAAAAAGATTTTTAAAAACAGACAGGTATTATTTCAAAATGTCCCTTTTGGCCTTTCTCCCTGAGGGATACTGAGCGCTACTTTGGAGATCAGCTTCTTACCAGTACTCACCTATCTATAAAATGACTGACTGGGAAAAACTGAATTCAGATCCTATTGCAGTAGTCATAAGTTATCAGCCAAGGAAAAAAAGTGTTCTAATTTTTAATGTAGAATATTCAATTAAAATTGTCCACTAGTCAGAAAAACTGAAGAAGTCTGCATATACTTAGACACTGCTGCATGCACCTTTTGCCTCTGATTATGAAACATCAGAAGTTGCCTCACAAACAGAAACTCTTCTCCACAATCTTGAGGGGAGTTGCTAGACCTCATTTCAAAGCTTAAGAAGAACCTACAGAGATGGGGATATTCTTGTCTTTCCATTAGCATTTTCTATTAACTTTTTGACATACATTTGTACCTGCCTCAGTTACTATTACCCTATTACAGACTTAAAACTCTATGCTAAACTGTTGGTCTGCAAGTCATAAAAATGTTCATCACATAGTCTAATTCCACAACGGAGAATTTTGATGCTACATGTGAGGATAAAGAGCCTCAGAGTGCTATCTCCTGGAAGAGCTGTACCGAATGCTCATCGGCATGTGTGAATACCCATCAGCCAGGAGCAGGCAGAGCAATGCCACAAGTACCCTCACTTCCCTTCCTCTCTGATGGCCAATGGGGCACCTCTGAGCCAGAAGCTCTGCTGCCTTCTTTTCTTTATCACTCCATTCTCCACAGAACAGAAAAGAGACTTTAGACTATCTTACTTCACAGCCGAGAGAGACTTTGGACCATTTATTCCAGCTCTCAGATGGTCCAGGTGATTAATTTTGGTCCAGATAATTGATCATGCCAGCATTCAAGAAGAGAAATTTTGCTACTATTAGCTCCTAGGGTAGATTTGGGGGTCTCTATTCCAATCCTACCATGTCAGGGGCCAAACCAAATCTCAGTCTTTTAGTTTAAAGAAAATATTTTTTGTATCTTGCAAAAATGGCAAAAGGTGCTGTGGATATTTTCACCTTCCATTTAATGTTGTTTGCAAGGGTTAGATTTTATCAGTTGCAAATACAGCAGATGCTGATAAAGTTGGTGGCCTCAAAAACAATCTGATGGGAGACTTCTGTAACTGGTAAAGTATTACCCCAGTACAAGACTCTAAGTTAGATGTGTTTCCATGTCCTTCTCTTCCTGACTTTGTAAGAACAATGGCTTGGAACAGAATGTGTTAGAGTCACTTCGATTACAACTTCTCCCTTGTAAAACTCAGTATCCCTGGTACCTGACTAAATTGCACACTGCCACAACTATGCTATCCAGTCTGGAGATAATGATGGGGATGGATTTCTTCTCTTAAAATGTATTGGCTGTCATATCAAACTATTATTTTTATCCTGACTTTATCAAACATATAGTGCTGCTTTTCTCCATCATTATGAAACTGGAGCATACAGTAATCAGCTGACTGACCTGGATGAGTCTAAAGTAACATTTTTACTTACCTGTACACTTTGATGAACATACCATAAGAGGAATTTATTTTTGTTAATTTTAAAATTTAGTACAGAGGTGGCTGATACCTCAAAGAATAGAGATAATATTTTCATGTAATAACATCATCTTACACTAAGATAATAACTACTATGGTCATACATAGCTTGGTTTTTTTAATTATATTAAATTTTTCAGCAAAGATAAAAACTAAGTCTTTTAGTTTCATTAACAAATGATCTTTGAAATCCATAAACCAATAAATAATAGCAATAACTGCTCTGCCAATATCACACTAAAGTTCAAACCTTTGTAATCAAGTCTTGTGAAATTGAAGTCTTGTAGAATATACATTTGACAGTTATAATGTTACAACATGATAAAAGCTGATCATGTTGTGGCATCCTATAATACTTGCTAAAGCATCTGCCCTCCGTCCTAAAGGGGCAGATGTGATAGTTATGCCCACAATAACTGATATGCACACATACTGCTAATTGGCATCACACCTCTAAGGAGAAAAAAAACAAACCACCAAACACCACACAAACAACCCACCACAAAAAAACTATTACAACAGCACTGTTATGTCACATACAGAAGTTCAGGGAAGTCCAGTTCAGTATTGTCATATGCATCATATGCAGTGTGAATGATCACATTCATATTTATGGATGTATTAAAAAAAGCTGTGATTAATCAGGGAGATCTTGAGAAATGCTTTGATGAAGCCAACTGTTTCAGAAATGATCATTTGATTATATGACAAGCAAATGCTTATTAGATATCACTTTAAAAAAAAAAAAAAAAAGGAAAACGAAACTCGGATAAGATATTGCTTGTAGTGAAGCGAAAGCTCTGAGCTGTGTGCGGGACCCCGCAGAGCACAGGATGGAAAGGACAGTCTCAGCTCCATTCCAGCAACAGAAATCCCCCCCGGGCTGCAGCACTGCGCTGCGTGAGCAGGCTTGGGCATGCTGAAGTGCAGACCATGGTGAAGGGCTCTGCAAACACCATTAATTACAGCCTCCTTGCAAAGTCAGTATGACAATGGATTCTCCAGTCTGCATTCAGATTTTCACCAAAATCACTGTATCTGTCTAGGCTTTAGACCAAAAATATCAACAGGACTATATGAACGGAATGATTTAAATCCTTCTGATTAAATGGTATGAAAAGTGAATCACAGGTAAAGCTAATCTGCAGCTGCTAAAACACTGGCAAACAGAACATCCCTAAACGGTATCTGCTAAATTCAACTTTTATTGAGAGATTATTTTATCAAGTGTTCTTCACATCTTTGATTGGTAATGTATTTTCTCTAGATCATGTTTTTTAAGGTCACCAAAGACAAACTGTGTATTGTGCATTGAACTTCACACAGAGGACGTTGTGGGTGACTCCATGAAAATACACACACAGAAACACATTTCTCATTCCTGCCGATAAGTTTGTTTCTTCCTACTTGAGCATATTTGCACGTAAGTATTAAAAAGTAAGGAGAGTACGAGCATTTACTCAATCTTTTTAACACTATTTAATATTAAAAATGGGGACAATACATGTATATTTTAGTCAAAGAGATCACAGACATTTTCTGTGGACATTTCTTAGAATTGTTTCTTGTGTATTCAAACCTTACAGAGCCAAGGGAGATTTCAAATAGATGACTGCATCATATGCAGGAGTAACACAGCACTCCAGCACTCCAAATACCTAGATTTCAGATGGGACACACTAGTAAAAAGTAAAGTAAAAGGAGGTGGAGGGGTGGTAAATTACATGTTAAGTGAAGCTGAAGAATAAAACATATCTAAAGCCAGCAGAAGAAAGGGAAGATATTACAAAGAATCTACTTAGAAGAGTTAGGGAAGGACATAGAAAGCTTATGGCCAAGAAGCCATTACTATCACAGTTTACACTTTCCCCAAATGCTTCCATATAGAGCTCCATATCCCTATTAAACTGAAATATTTTCGTTCTCAAGGGACGGTAATGTACAGAAGGCAGGAGAGAGAGTGGCACTAGCAAACTGCAGAGGCTATGAAAGACGATAATGCTGTGAACTCCCACCTCTTTCCTGCTTCCCTATGATACTGCTCTTCATTTGAAATGGGAATAATACTTTCTCTTCCGTAACTGTGGCGATTGCATTGCCTTTGACCATGTGAAGAAGTATGCATAAAATAGTTTCTTTGCATAAAGTCCAGAATTTGGCAACCATAAGATATATGAGTTCCTCTGAAATGCAAATTTTGAAAATGGCATTTGGACCCTCAGTGACAGACTATGGCAGAAGACAAAGCTGTAATGCTATACATGAGGAAAATAAGCATATCCTAGGCCAAAGGTGATTTGTGACATTTAACAGAGATCTCTTAATAGTGCAGTGCCCAAAAGATGAAGTTATATAAACCTATAATCTGATTCTAGCCTCATAAACAGGAGTAATCCATTTTGAAAGATGGAATTAATAGTACCTATGAAAAACCAAAGTTAATTTTTGCAGTGTATCCAGACCAACACATGTCTCCTTCCACTTGTAAAAACTACAAAATGACAATCTCAAAAATGCTATTAATTAGAATGATCCATCTCATAATTTCACTGGATCAGTTACAAATTATTTTCTCATTACACCATTACAGCCATTGTACTGACAATCAGTCGCCAGTAAGGGTATATACCGAATCTCTTATTTATTCTTTAAGAGAGGAATCAGAGATCATGACAAAGAAATATTCCAATGGTCTATAAATTTTGATCAAGTATTTACCTTCACACAGAGGATGCAATATGCTTTATATTGGGTTAGAGAGCCAGTTATGCAATAAATATACAGTAGGCAAGCCATGACATTGTATAGGCCATTGGGTTGTCCCACAATCTAGCCTGAAATAAGCCATAAACAATGAAAAATAATTCCTCTGCTCTGCAGGTAAGCTAAATATAGACTTCTGTGCCCTCAGCTAGAATGACCTTAACTGGAATAAATGGAAATTTATATTTATCATCATGATTGTTATTCGGTGAAGA